CTAGTTAGTTTGTTCGTACACTAAAAATAACATACGTTTGGTGCTTTTTTAAATTATAAAAGTTCCACTAGCGTTTACGGCGGTGCGAATATTCGTCTGCCATATTGAATTTTGCTAGCGGTCACGCGAATTCGGTTTTAATCCTCGCCGATCACTCACGGATTTTACTATTAAAAGTTATTATGGAAACGATTGGCAGGGACCACAAAACCGTTTCAGTTGTGTTAGTTGATCTAGTGGGTTGTGTTTTTTTGCCATGTGAATTCTGTCAGTTGCAGTTTTTACAATAATTAAAAAAAACATATATTGTCATTGACTTTCCTTTTGGATACTGTCTAACCGAGTGGAGTTGTTAATTCATTCTGAAGTGATACTTCTAGATTCTAGAGAGATACAGTCTAATATTGAAAACCATTTTTTACGTTTTTTGCTGTATTAAGTAGAACAGTACCTGGATGACCAATCTAGGCTCTGTGTTTTTTTTAATACATAAATTTATTTGAAAACAAAAAAAAAGTAGAACAAAAATTATAACATAGAAAACAGAAATAATTTCAAGAGTGGGAGAGCCATGCTTCGGCACGAATGGGCCGGCTCGACCGGAGTGATACCACGGCCTCACAGAAAACTGACGTGAAGCAACGCTTGCGTTGTGTTTCGTCGTGTGAGTGAGGTTACCAGAGGCCCAATTACCCTCCTCTTCCCTAATCTCCCCAATCTCTGAATCCCCAACGATCCTCAAACTCCTGATCCTCAAACTCCTAATCCCCAAAAGGCCGGTAACGTAAGTGCGTTACCGGAAAACGAAAACAAAACGGAAAACCAGAGGCGTTACAATTGTAACGCCTCTGGTTTCCCAGGTGTCCATGGGCGACGCCGATTGCTTACCATCAGGTGATCCGTATGCTCGTTTACCGGCTTATGCCATTAAAAAAATAAAAGAAACCGTCGGGCCGAGGTTAGAACCCAAATCTTCTGCTTTGGAAGCGTCCGATATCCGGACCAAGCTATTTTAACTTTAATTATAAAAGCGTTTACCTTCGTATCCTAATAAGGTTTTATATTCAATATAAACACGAATAGAACGAAATTTTCTGAAAATGTAACCTACCTAGATCGATTTATCGCCCCCGAAACCCTCGATTGGAAAATTCAAATAAAATCGATGGAGCCGTTTCCGAGATCATTGATGTACATATACAAGAAATGCTCGCTATTGGATTCCAAAAGAAGCGCTTAGTACTGTTTTAAGTGTTACCTACTTCTTCAAAATTCTGGATGCGATTCGGATTTGAGATAAATATGTATGTCATGCACAGTAAATATATTTTTTTATGCCATAAGCCGATAAAGAAGCAGACGGATCACCTGATGGTAAGCAATCGGAGTCGCCCATGGACACCAGAGGCGTTACAAGTGCGTTACCGGCCTTTCGGGGATTAAGAGTTTGAGGATATTATTTCAAAGACATTTATTTTTATTGTATACTCGCTACTTCCGCGCGTTTCCTCATGCTCTGCTCGGCTCCTATTTATCGTGGCGTGATGTTTTAGATCTAAGCCTTTTTCGATAAATAGACTATCCTACACAAAAATAATTTCTTTCCTATCCTGAGATTAGCTTGTTTAAACAAACAAACTCTTCAGCATAAAACTATAAGGGTAAATATAAATTATTTACTATTAGGTAACTTTGGTAAGCATAAGACAGAATGCCATAGAATTCTTCAGATGGTAACCTCGTACCATCAGATAGGCCGTGTATTTCTTTTGCCACCATCGTGGTCTTCTCTTTCTCTTGCAACTTCTCTGCAGTAGATGCTGTAGTCTAATTGAACCTGCGGTACAATGAAATCGCACTTTCAAGTGCAGAACTTTCGGTTTCCCGTCAGATTGTTCGATTTAACTTCGACCTACATCCCTCGATGTCTATAGCCATTCAAACTTGGACGGACATAGTAATGTCACTTTGAAGGGTCAATGACTTTATAGTTTGTCAGTTACGCCTTTCATTGGGTTATTCGCGAAATTGGAGGATGGTACTGTAATATAGTCGCTAAGGAAACATAATTCTTATTTTGCATACGGGTGTCTGCAAAATAAGAATTATGTTTTCTTAAATATTCTTGTTTACGGCGTTCTTGGACTAGACTGGAAATTTTAAGTAATATTAAAAACAAATTAAATTGATAATCGCCATTTTCAGTACATCTATCCATGCACGTTTCAAATAATTGATGTATCTACATTTATCATAATCAATACAATATCCAGTTTTTCTTTTTATCTAATTTGGGAATAAGTATTTTTCATTAAATTACGTAGTGAACTGTGTTAAATACCAAAAGCAATAATAATACTTATTAATAAATGCATTAAGTATAGGTTAAATACGATATTTTATCCCATATCCCTTTTTGGGACAATATCCAATCTCGATCTAAAATTGGGAATTTATCGAACAGGAAAATGTCACACAGTATCGTAAAGTAACTCCTCTTCGTAACCACAGCAGTTCATATTCAAACGGTTTCACTTAATACATTTAAAATGTTTACAAAAATATTTACTTGACAACTGTAACGACACTTTTTATTTCTTCGAGGGTTAGGAAGCAAATTATATGTTTATGTTATATAATAATGTGTCAGGCTGTACACAGTTGATGTTATATATCTATGGCCATAGTTGTTTGCTCTTTCACACTGAAACAGTTCAGGAAGATGAGATTATGAGAAGCCTCTGGCAGAAACTGCACTTAGGAGCAAAGAAACGGATCTACTATTGTTTTTTATCTCCATAATATTGAACCCTCTATAACTTCACCAAAAAACCCCACAGAAAAGGTTACTAGAGGCCTAATTACCCACCCCCCCTCTCCCTTCTCAAATCTCGCCAATCCCTGAATCCCCAACCATCCTCAAACTCATAATCCCCAAAAGGCCGGTAACGTACTTGTAACGCCTCTGGTGTCCATGGGCGACGCCGATTGCTTACCATCAGGTGATCCGTCTGCTTGTTTACCGGCTTATGCCATAAAAAAAAAACTTTAGAAAGAAATATTTCTTTTACAACAAAATGCTTTAATTTTACACGAAACTAAATTGCCATTTGTACGACATTACCAATTAATAAAATATTTGTCGTCAGAAAATATTTATCGAGAAATGAGAACGAAAAAACGCTAGTGGGTCCGATTCTTTGTGTAGAACTAATAAAATTCAGTCACTTTTTGGAAATCCATTAACCAAACAATATTCTACTCAAGTAAATATCTGTATGAATATCAAATTATCTTCTTGTCTACATTCTCAACAAAATACCCGTTAGGTTTCCTACGATCTCTGTGTTGATCACAAAGATCTTGAAAATCACTTTAGTTACCCACCTCAAGTTACAAATGGTATAATTAACACAACTTTGTTTTACATACACAGAAATAATTAGGTCGAACTTCTCAATATAACTTTGCAAGCAGCTTTATAAACCGGTTACTATCAGTTACGAAACTGTTATGTTTATACGTTTTAGTTAAGAACTTGGAGAGGTTAATTTACTTTGTTTGTTTTGTGTACTCGACCTTACTTTATACGGTTAGTTGGGTAAGGAAACAGTCAAATGTCCTTAAGCGTTGGTGAGTGCGAAGGTAGTTTTGTTTGTCTTTCCCCACTTTATTATTTATTTGTTCGACGTTGTTTTGTTGTCTAAATCGATCGAAGTTATTTACTTTGTTTGCGTGAAAATAAGAAATAAGTCGTTTATGATTACGTTACCCTGGTTTTATGACGCGATTATGATTGGGCTTTCGGTTCCTACAGATATAGAGAACATAAATAAATAAAAATAATGTTAAGTAAAAACGCGGGTTACTCACGTGAATATACTGAGAAAAGCTCTACTAGTTTCGAACCACAGAGGGGTTCTTCCTCATGAGCAGCGTGCGCGGTCGCGGCGACGTCGCGCAGCTCACTGGCTGGCGTTGGCGCTCGCCTCGGTGTTGCCACCTGCGCTGCGAGCCCAACGCGCCCTCTGTCGGACACTACGAGCATTTGCTTCCAACTCCGGCAGCGCGTTGGACGAAGCTAAAGCGCACGGTACGTTCACCAGCGGCGCGGGTCGTGGGTTCGATTCCGGGTTCGGCACAAAGTCAGTGTTGCATATAACGCTGACGGCTGATCTCGATGGCCTCTCGCACTTTTCAGCCGACGACCGTGCTTCAACAGGGATGGTGGCTGGGCACTGCCACCCGCGTGGAAGCCGAGCTTGGAGTCTTCGTCGATCCACAGCGTCTCCAGTCTGGAGTGTGACACAGTAAGCGTTATATGCAACACTGACTTTGTGCCGAACCCGGAATCGAACCCACGACCCGCGCCGCTGGTGAACGTACCGTGCGCTTTAGCTTCGTCCAACGCGCTGCCGGAGTTGGAAGCAAATGCTCGTAGTGTCCGACAGAGGGCGCGTTGGGCTCGCAGCGCAGGTGGCAACACCGAGGCGAGCGCCAACGCCAGCCAGTGAGCTGCGCGACGTCGCCGCGACCGCGCACGCTGCTCATGAGGAAGAACCCCTCTGTGGTTCGAAACTAGTAGAGCTTTTCTCAGTATATTCACGTGAGTAACCCGCGTTTTTACTTAATTTAGTATGTCTCACGATAGTTATTATAAAAACAAAAATAATGTTATGATATTTGTAGTAAGCGTATACTGTATAATAATAATATACTCGTAATAGTTCGGGTGTAGACTGTAGATGACTTTTGATATCCTAGACTATGCCTTACACATAATTATTATTCACGGATAAAGATATTAATTTTAAGTACTAAAATAAGATCTTTTGGTAACTGAATTCGAGTGTAAATACATTTTTAATTTGTGTCTGTCCATCCAAGACTCAAGTTAAATCCAACATCAACATGTTTTGACAATTAGACACCGTTTCCAGTTACGCACTAATTCCACAGCAGCACATTTCCCTCGTGTCACAATACGTCATTGTTCGCAGTGTCCTTCGGATGCAGACAGCGAGGCAGTGTGGGAGACAGCTGATGTGACATTGGAACGGGGTGCTAGTGGGCTCGGCCTTAGTATAGCGGGCGGGGAAACTGGCAGTGACGTCAGCATAACGCGACTAGCAGTTGGTGGTGCCGCGCAAAAAGATGGAAGATTGCAAATAGGAGATATTTTATTACAAGTAAGTTTTTTTTTACAACGTAGAATGCTTTTCGAAAAAGATCATGTTTGAATATTTACAGTAAATGTTCATTTGATAAGTTTATTATAATAAAAAAAATATAAAACAAACATAGATTTCAATTATACTGCACGTCACAAATACCACAGCAGGAATTAACTGTTTATAATATTTTACTAATATTTTACTCTGTAAGGGGCTCAAATAGCACCTTTCTCTTTACGGTCTCAGTCCGTTATAAATTCTATGGCAAAATTATTTTACCTCTATTTACCACAAACCTTTTTATGGACCTTTGTGAGCCGTTTAGGGAGCACCCAGAACCCTGGGCTAAAAATAAACCCTGCCTTTTTGGTGGACGTGTAAAGTACAAGGACAGAATGGACGAACAAAATTGTGTATACGATGTATAGAAAAACTTGGTGTGAACTTCTACTGGGGAACTGATTCCTATTCTACCCACGCTCCAAATATTTGAGATCAAACAAATATAGGTTGAAGAAGGTCAAGTCAACTTGTGCAATCTATTTGAATTGGAAGTCTATTGTGACCTAGTTTTTTAATAGATTGGACGGGTGTCGCTGTTCGGTAAAGAAAAATTTTTGTTATGAATCTGGAAAGTGATTTCTCAATTTCGAAAAATATTTTTAGTGATTATTATGAACGTAATGTTATTTTTATATTAAATATTTTCACCTCAACAAAGCGTACTAAATAAAGGTCAAAATTTCATATTTCAAGTGTTAATAAGGTAGAAATATTTCCAAGTCCTTTTTACGAATAAAAAATTAAGTATTCCGTTATAGAACAAAAATAGATTTTAGCATTCAGTGACCTTGTTATTTGGCTAGAAGTGTAATAAGATCCTTACGAAGAAATATCTTTCTTTGTCATAATTAGTTCTTTAATAATTCCTTAAAGTAAAATTATGAACATCTTGTACCTTTCTTCAGCTAATAATAAAAAATATTGAAATCATAAATAAGACAATATTCATGTTGGTGTGATTTTCACGTCATGTAAAAAATGTTAAATATCTAAAAAGAAAAGCAAAAAAAAGTAAAAATTAACATGAACTTGAATCTTTTTTCCCGTAGGCAGGCACTCAAAAACTGAACAAGGAACTTATTTAAAAGACATTTCTCAAACTTTACTTGTTTAATGAAATTTTCTGTAAGGACGAACATTTCATTTGACAGGTTCATTTTTATATTTCCATAGACCGTCGAATATCTGTTATTCAGGAATTTTCTTGTATTTAAGATAAACAGGATTTTTTCATAAACTTTAACTAAGTCATTTCGGTTAATACACTAATTGGGTACATGTCAATCACGTGCCTTCAGCGATTCTAAACCAGAACTGCTTAATATATCAATTAGCTACTGATTTAGCAAAGAAAGTATTGAAATTAATTTCAATAAGATTTAACTAAAAATCGCGGGTTACTCAGGTGAATATACCGAGAAAAGCTCTACTAGTTCCGAACCACAGAGGGGTTCTTCCTCATGAGCAGTGTGCGGTCGCGGCGATGTCGCGCAGCCTACTGAGATTTATTGAGCAGCATAGCCCAAAATCTTATTTAATTTATGATATCAAATAAGAAACAAAAACAGCCTTCTTACATACGTTATGACAATTGGGTATCTTTTTGAAAAAACATTTTGTAAAAGTTGACTGCCTCGTTGGCCTAGTGGTGGCAAGTGCGACTGCCGGGCAAGGGGTCTCGGGTTCGATTCCCGGGTCGGGCAAAGTACTACAGGGTTTTTAAAAAAAATCTCAGTAGTAGCACGGAGTCTGGAATTGTGCCCGGTATATGGCAATAGGCTCACCCCCTATTACATGGGACTCATAACATAAATAGTGAAAAGTGGGTGTTACATTGTACAAAGACATAATGTGCACCTCTGCCTACCCCTTCGGGGATAAATGGCGTGATGTTATGTTATTTTGTAAAAGTTACCGTCTTTTTTTATTACGGGGGGAAACCTTTAAAAGGCGCTAGTTTTTTAGAAAGACTAGGGAGTTTGGGATTCGTACCTCACTAAAACCACCCCCTCAGCACCTGTAAGGGGCACAGGGTCCTCTGAAGAGACCTGTTACAACACATTCCTAGGGAGACCTGTGTGTCCCTTGATCATTGCTTTGCACGGCAACACGTGACCCCTGTGCTACCGTCTTCCCTGAGGCCACTGGATGGGCACCTTGAGTCCCCACTCTATGCACCCGTGGCCCCAAAGGTCCGCCTGCAATTTATGCGGTGTGTTAAGCGTCAACGTGGTTGCCTCCTCGACGCCTTCTTTGTAAAAGTTACTTAACAATATTGTAGGTATTTCAATATTTCCCACAACATCAGTAACGATATCTTTCCTTGTGTTTATTTCGCCCTGTTTTTTGAGGGGAGAAAATTATCCAATCAATGACTTCTGCCGCCTTGGGTGAGGCTAAAGAAAGTGCCAGACTCACTGACCTTCCCGTTCCTACTCCTGCTTTGAGCAAAAAGCAAAAGTTGCTGGTCAAATGTGTTTATTTCGTCTTCAAAATAAATATAATCGGATTAAAATAGTAAAGAAAATCTTTTACAATAATTGTGAAATTTAGAATTTGATACCTTCTAATAATAATAATACACGAACGACATCACTAGAACGTTAGCAACTGCCAAAATTCTGTTGTTATTTGCGAGTGAGTTACGATGAAACTAAAAGTAATAAAGGGTAGATTACCAACAACAGATTAGAGAGAATAACCGCAGTTTATGTCTGTCACTGAACATAGATAGGTATTAATAGCCGACCCAACTTCATAAAGGTTAATTTTCAGAGCACATTCATAATAAATTTGACCTCAGTTGTTGATATTCTAATTTTATAGCGACGTTACTGCAAATTGCCTGGTTGAATACCTCGTTGGCTTAGTAACAGTAGATGGAAATGACTGATGGTATAACTTACCTGTATAGTGTGGAAGTGGACCTGGGTATTCTAAAATTGCATCTGAGGGTTGAGCCAGACTTTCGCTCTGGTCTTAAACAAAGCAGCAGAAGACATTTAAAAACATCCCACTTAACAAAAAACTTCCGAGGGTTTAACAGCATTATCCAAATTTTCGATGACTATATTGTGATTCTCAAGTTGCCTGCATAGCATCAAGACTATTTCTAATTCAGTTCGAAACTAGATTTGGATAAAATTAAGTGTTACCCTAAACTTCTGTGGAGCCGCAGAAGACTTAACGGGTAACCGGGGTTTCGGCTCGAAGAGCAGGAATAAGAATGGGTGGTTTGTATCCAGTAAGGGTCTGATACTCTCTTTCACCTCACGCAAGGCAGAAGAAGTAATTGGATGACATTCCTCCATTAAAAAAAAGACTTCGTAGAGTGATCATGACATGTATTTTAATATTTATCCATAAATAATAACATATGTAATATTTCTGTAAATTAAAATTAATTTATGCATAAATACGAGTTTGAAAATTACGCAACAAATATATGTATTTTAAAAAAATAACTTACATTGCATTATATCCTTATTCAAATGTTATCTGCGAAGTTAAACCTTATGTTACTTCCTAGAATTTCCCTACGAGTATTAACTTCCATGAAAACTTAATTACTTCGTACTTTTGCTATATTAGTTTTGAAGGTAACAAACATTGCATAATGTATATAAATATGTCTTTACATTATTCTCACATGTGTGTACAATATTGGAATATGTATCAGAGCAGTATAAAACAGACTTTTTCTTAAAGAGTAACGAATGAAGTTTCTTGCTCGTTCTTCTCCACTCGAATTGACATTTTGGAACGAGCGCCTAGCTTCACTGACAGACTGACAGACTAATATTTATTTCATATTGGTTGACGTTTCAAAAGTACCAAATTATGGTTTAATTTATTTAATAGATGCTTTTGAGTTTGAGTTTGATAAACTTTTTACTTAGATCCAATATTAGGTAGGTACTAGTCATTAAATACTGAGTTAAGGTCAAAATACTCCGATTTATTCCTATCTTTGTGGAAGCTTTTCCTTTAGAATTATAATAATATTGTAACAATATATATCTAAGAATAATATTAGGTTAATGAACCTCATTGTGTCGGTCTTATTGTGTCATCTAAATTGAAAACTAATAAGATATCATTTTTCATACAATGGTGACGTGACATTTACTTTTATTTAAGACTAGCTGTGCCTGCGACTTTATCCGCGTGGAATAGTATATAATAGCTCTTCCCCTATAGGTGATAAAATATATATCCTATATGTTGACCCGACCTGTTAGTAATATTCTTGCAAAATTTGACGTAAATCCACGCAGAACTATTTGAGTTTATGACGGACATACATACCTATAGATATACAGATAAAAATTCCGAAAACTATATTTTTGCCCTCGATATTGATTGTAGATCACGTCCCGAATTTCGTTTAAAACGATATTGAAAGTACAGTTTTTACTTTCCTACGATTTTATCATGTGTCGCATTAAGATAAATATAGCTATATCATAATTATGTATAGATAGCAACGTTATGTAGAAACATAACGTTAATTTTAAGTAGCTAATTTCTAAATAAATAGAAGTCGAACCTACTAGGTTAATATCGTGTGTTCGATCCTTTCATTAGGCGAACGACCAAAATTTATAGGCTATCTAAATCCAAATCGATGCATTAGTTCGATATTACTTTAGTGGAGTTCCTATCAAAATCTGGATTGATCTAGAATGGACTGAAATCGGTTATTACTTTTAGACCAAAACCAAAACCAAAGCGTTTGGAAGCAAAACCATAAAATAATCTACTAATATTATTATGACTGCCTCGTTGGCTGAGTGGTCACAAGTGCGACTGCCGGGCAAGATCTCGGGTTCGATTCCCGGGTAGGGCAAAGTACTACTGGGTTTTAAAAAAATGCTCAGTAGTAGCACGGAGTCTGGAATTATGCCCGGTATATGGCAATAGGGTCACCCTCTATTACATGGGACTCATAACATAATAGTGAAAGATGGTTGTTACATTATACAGTGGCATTAAGTGCCTTAATATGCACCTCTGCCTACCCCTTCGGGGATACGCGAAAGAGGTTACAGACAAAAATAAAAAAAGACCTGACTAATTATAAAAGTGTATATCGATATTATTATCTATTCAAGCATCTATAATTATACGTTGGTAATCTACTCACTACTATGTGAAGTGTGAGAGCTAATAAATTTAACCATTAGATAAAGCTGCCCACTACAATGTCAACCATTATAGAGTTTAAACTTAATTGTAGATTGCGCAGTAATTACGGTAGTAACAAGTTTACAGTGATTACCTACACGACTGTTTGGTGAATTGTTTCATCAACATAAATTACTATAGTTCTACATAATAAAGGCAATTTAATCATTATGTTCTTAACCCTGACGGGGTAGGTACATACATATATTATGTAATGTCTATTTTCCTTCGATGGGTAATGAGTCCCATCAGAGGCCTTAGTACGAGTTTGTTTTACGTTTAAAGTAATTGTATCGAGTACGCATACGGCGCTCTGATTGGTTGATCCATTGGCGACGCCGGCCAATTACAGTGCCGAACGCGTACTCGTTTCGAATACTCTCTAACGTAAAAGAAACTCATACTAAGGCCTCTGTACTAATAGTAGCTACTTCCGAATGACTTCACTCGCCCAGTACCTATTGAGCCTAGTGTGATATTTTACGATAGCCTTTCTCGATAAATGCACTATCCAACACAAAAAAAATAATAATTTAGTTCGAACCAGTAGTTCCGGAGATTAGCATCAAACAAATAAACTCTTCAGGTTTATGTGTTAATATAAGATTAAAAAATAAATATAGGTAATTATGTAGAAATAAAATGATAAAGGTAAAAGCCTTCTAATAAAAGACAGCAATCTATTCTGATAAGTATCCTGAGTATGTTAGAATTCATTTTCATTTGCCATGAACAATTTTATGAAGAACATTATCATATTTATAAATTACACATAAATAAAGGTTCTATCTGTTTGTAATTCAATCATAAAGGGGAAGACAAATAGGTGTTGTGTTACAAGGGAAACGAAACAGAAAGACATTTCAAAGGTTTTCCGTTCAGTAAAGACACAATACATGGCTCTTAATAATGTTATTCTATTTTGAAGTCAATTTGACATCTGTTTCGATCCAAAGAAAAATGTAGATAGAATATGAAAAAAGTCAATGAATTCTACTTTTTATTATAGGATAATTAACGAGCAGACGTATGATCTGGTGGTATGCCATCGGCGTCCCATGGTCAATCGAAATCTTTTGGAGATTAAGAATTTCACGATAGATCGGGGAGATTGGAGAGGGGGGAGTTTAGGCCCATGTTTCCTGAGTGTGAGTATCTTCAAGGTCTGAGTGAATAGAGTGCTTATGGGCAGGCGTGTTCTATCGTAGGTCGTATGTCTTACCACCAGACGAGATAGTGGCCACACGTTGATTTATCACATACATTTATAAAAAAGTTAAACCAGTATATAAGAGTATCAAACATACAAAAAGTTCTGTATTTAAAATAAAAAAACTGCTATTATTTGCTAATGAATAAAGTGAATAATTACGATTACGTTAATTAATAATTATAGCGCCTTCACAAATTTAATTATAGTACCTACATTTTTGGTGCGAATTAAAATGAACAATAACGATAGTAAATTAATGCCATTTTATGAACAAACGAATTAATTAATTGACCACAAAACGTGAATGATTGTGTGTCAAATTAGTACTTTACTTGTGTGATAGGTTTGTTTTGTTTACCTAGTAATAAATTAATCCATTTTATATATTACATACATCACTTTACGCCTTTTTGCCACGGGGCAGACTATGGAACGTCAATTGCTACGATTCCTACATACCTTCATCAACAGTCATCAATCTTTTCATGCATGCTCATTGGTTAAGGGTACTTTTAATATGGCCCTTTTTTCTTTCTTTATTTTTTGTTCCTGATATTCTTTGAAAAAAAAAAACGATAAACGCGATTTATAATATCAGAGTCCTAAAGTTCAATGTTTCTTGTCAAATCTGTGAATGTAATGTAAAAAGTTATCACCTGTCTTCATACTATGTACGACTAGTATTACAAATACGAATCTTTAAAAATATGAAAGACAAATGAAAGACTTTGTCATCGCTTGAGTGCCTTAATAGTAACATGCATTATTCCATTAGACAAAAATATTTTTATGTTTACACAGGTAAATGACATTTCTGTGGAAGGGGCGCCACATTCAGTCGCGGTTGATGCTCTTCAAAAAGCTGGAAGCGTCGTTAGATTAGTAAGTTCAGCAATGCCTGCGCTTTTTAAAGCATAGCTCTTCTGTAATTGGCTGCTTTATACTTCTCTTCATTGCATTCTCTAGCGCTGCCGTCGCTAATGGTGCATCTCTGATGTTGTTGACATTTTTGCTTGCGATTTAGAAATACCGCTTCTTTTGTGTTGTAAAAGTAGTGGGACTAGATAAATCTTTATTGCCGTCGTGTTTCAGTGAGATTAGTGTAATTATGGTTGTATAACATTTTTATAATGAATTGATTGGTGTGGCTTAAGGTTTAAGATTATTTTAGATGTGATTTTAGACACTGACCCACCTTTTTTATTTCCAACACAATTATTGATGTAAACATAGGTGAAATCACCCGTTAATGTATCAATATCTTGGGTTCTACATGTTGTTCAGTGGATTTAAGTGTTAACTACAAATAACTTTAGATGAAAAACATAAAGTATATTAGTCCCGTGAAGACACTAAACTCACGATAAGGTGCCCAGTACCGACTTGACTGCTTAAAAGTTATTTTGAGCTTGATACAGTCAAAATATTGGTAATTAAAATCATGTTTTTAAAACGTTACCCCACATTAAGATTTTCTTCATTAAGTTCACACACACAATGACACCCAGACCCGAAAAAAAAATTTGTTTATCACACAAATTGTTGTTCCGTGTGAAAATCGAACCGTGACACGTTGCACGGCAGCCGGTTGCCCAGCCACCGAACCAACCATGCAGTCGTGATTAATTACTTTTCCTTGTAAAATGATGAAAGGTTTATAATAAATATATTCTATGAATTAAAAATCAAAGCGAGTTCAATTTAAATAATGGAACAGTATAATCCTTTCACGCTGTTGCAATTTAAAATCATAATATGGCTGTTATTAAAAAATCCTTTGAAGGCTAAATCGTAATACGAGTCAAACGAGACAAGTTGAAATGATAACCTAATAAATTCAATTCTTGGAAGTGTACCTAATAATCTGCTTATGTATTTTATAAAGGACAAATATCAATGAATTGAAAGAACAAATAATTATTAATACTAAAGAAAATAATTTTCTAAAAAGTCAATTCAAAGTATACAACATTTAAAGTTACTAAAAAATATTTTCTATTGTAGAGATACATAATACACTGGTGGTGACATCAGTTAATAATATGTAATAAAATCGGGTTATCGATTATAGTGTATGTCAATTATGATATAGGTATTATTACATCGCACATAATATATTTTCTTAATTTTGTTAAATTAAAGATTATTTTTAAACAACTATCAAATCAATAGAAAAAAAGGAGCACATAATTTAACGAACCTGCTCAGTAGAGGTAGTTATACTGAGCAGGTTGTTCATTCATTCATCAGGCTTTATTTTATAAAATAAGGGCTGAGTAACAAGAATCAAACAAAAAGGAATGATTTTTGCTTTAATGTTATGCTTATATCTGTTATAGACAGCTGTTTAAATTATTTAGTTTCCTAAACACAATATCAATGTCATAGTTCTAATTATGAAGTATTTAAACACGCATTTACTTCTTTCAATGTCAAAAGCATGACTGTCGCAAATATGAACCTTATAGCAATAAATATAGCTTGAAAGTTAAAAAAAATGTCTGTTTTCACCAGCGAGTGCGACGAGCTCGAAGACCTAGGGTGGTGACTCTATGGCGTGGAGTAAGAGGTCTTGGCCTTGGTATTGCTGGTGGGGCTGATGATGCAGCAGGTGGAGGAGGCATCTTCGTATCTCATATTGCCGTAGGTGGAGCTGCCCACCATGATGGAAGATTAAGACTGGGCGATAAAATTTTGGCTGTTAGGGATAAAGATGTAAGTGAATGACAAAGTAATTTGAATTAGATTTCTTTTATGGAATAACCCTGTAAATGCTCAGACGGATTATCTGATGGTAAGCAATCACCAGAAATATCAAAGGTGTTACTAGTGCGTTACCGGCCTTTCGGGGATAAGGAGTTGCAGGATTTCTAGGGATTCGGGGATGGGGGACATTGGGGATAACTGGGGCTCCAGCTAATTTACTTTTCACAACAAAAACACTTCAGGATATGATGATTGTTCTTACTTTCTCTCGCCTTTTCTCATATACAATGTTCAGCGACAGGTGTTTTTCTTCTCCTCTTATAATATCTTCTGATTTACTTCGCTGCCGGAACCAACACAGTTATTCATATCCCTGGAACGCGCCGGACTTCAGTGTTCCGGTGTTTTCATGGTTGTATCTACTGTAGTTCCTGGCTTACAGGAGTTGCAGCAGTTTTGGGAGGTTGTGGCGAGTTTGTCCCTAAAAATATACAATGTTCAGTACTGAGTGTTAACCAGATTAAACAGAATGTTAACATTATTTTACATGGGGCAATTGTTATCAGCGATAAGTCGCTAATGGTGATACTAATAATTTTGTTGGCAGATTTTTGTCTTGTACCGTAGATAACTGTAGTTTTAAAAGATTTATTTCTTCTTTAGGGTATTGAAACATCTTTAATTGGTGCAACGCACGCTCATGCAGTATCTGCTCTAAGAAGTACAGGAGACCAAGTCACGCTCATAGTATTATCAGCAGGCTCTGTACCACCAGTCGCTAAAACAGCTCCATTATACTCAAGTACGTAACATTATTGAATTACCTTTATCTGATTTTCATCATCAATCTTCAGTAACATCAATTTCATAGTTCGCAGTGATGTAATTTTAATCTAATCTCAAACGATTTAGAGTTCCTATCAAAAATACTTATAATAATAAGCATCCAATTAAATTATGGTTGTTTTTTAAATGGTGGATGATATATGATTCCATTCAGTTCGATGGTGAAATAAATATTTAAATTTTTGAAACAATCATAATATCAATTTACATCCAAAAATACCTGAACTGAGTTATTAACAATAATTTTGAATGAATTAAAGTCTAAGTCAAAGTTAATTACAATTAATCCTTAGTTAGGTACTTTTAAATACGCCATAATTGAATTATCCGTCAGTAAAGCTAGGTGCTTGTTCTAAAGTATAGTTTGGAATGAAGAAGAACAAAGAAAATGTCATGACATGGTGTTTTAATTCTCTTTCCATTTGTATAGCCAAAACTCAAGCCACGTCGTGTTCAACGCTCCACGAGTTATTAGAAGAGGAACCAAGTGAAATACCGAGGTAACTTTGACCCTTCACAGCATCCACTATTTCAAGCCAGCCTACATTTGCCGAGAGATTTATAGTACAAATTTCTCAACCCAAATACGCAGTTATCATAAACTATCTTTTTAGAACAGATTTTTATTGTGTTCATATTTTACTTTATACTTTAATACGACCATGTTAAGGCTTTGTTTAGAAAATAATATTTTGGCCTCTTAAGCAAATCATCCAACTATTTTTTTTATTACATAATGTGCACGTCATTTAGTAACTTTTATCTGTGTATATAGGTACTACCTATATAATTTAGTGCTTCAATACTTCAAAATGTAAAACATTGAAATATTCTGCTGTCTCTAAAATTGTTGTTTTGGCACTTACCCTGAACAAGTTCCAGTTGGCAATAATGCTGCTGCGTAATTTGTATCTAACTTCAAAAAATAAGTTTTTTATTTTATCTTGTTCTTGTTTCCGGTATAAAGCTTAAACCTCAATATTTTTACATAGAAAAGGGCCTGTCCTGTCTCCTACATACGTGAAAAAACGACTTTTTAAATTAAATTTCAATATACCGTATTTATTATAAATTCGAAGCAATCATTTTATCTTGGCAAGACATTTTCTATAAGCCTCAGTATAAATCTTAATATTATTAAGAATCATTTCATGAACAATATTCCATTAACTACAGCACAAAGACAATAAGTTTTGGACACTGAAAGTTTCGTTTCCAGTAGCAACTGGGAAACCGCTGAACACGCCTTGCGAAACTTATAATTCCTTAACTTTAGCAAATCTTAAATTTAAAATTGTTCCAGGGCTTTTTAAAGCAAAATCAGTTTGCACATTTCCTAGAACAATGGGAAATTAAATGGTCATAATTTATTTTTACGCATATAAATTAAACAATCAAAACGGATTACTGTAATCTTTTATTGGTTAATTTAAAAGTTACAATTAAAATTTATTGTATTCACTTATCGATGAAAATGAAATATTATTTTGTAATTTATCGACCACAGATGTGTCCGCATGGTCAGGCTTGTACGGTCTGGCTCACGCCTCGGCATGGACATCGTCGGAGGGCTGGGAGGAGAGGTGGAAGGGAACACGGATGAGGACGCCTGTGGAGTGTTCGTGTCGGGTGTTTCTGTAGGTGGGGCCGCCTACGGCATGCTACATAGAGGCGACAGGATACTAAGTGTCGACGGCAGAGACCTCACGAGGGCTACGCATGAACAAGCCGCAGCTGCACTGAAGGTAGCTATCTAGATATAGATTTTGTGACTTGTTTCTGATTCCATCGTTAACTATTTAAGCGTTGAGGTCTTAAATCACACGTGCACTTGTTTAACTTTTGCTTTAAATAACATTCAAATGTCATTTATTAATTTTCAAATAGAAAAAAATACAAATTAATCTTTAACGCCCAAAGTCGTGTTGGAAACGCTGAACGTGTGAACATAATTATACTATCCGCCCGTTCTAATGGGGTCTTATTATCTAAAAAAGAAGCTAGCTATCGAAAGTGTTGTATTACTTTGTGAACATTTTGCAATATAGTAGCTTGTTCAGGATAATATGAAGTGTTCTTAAATTCTATTCTGTTTGGCCTCTCCACTCAAGCAGTACTCGGGAGCCACAGTGACAATAGCGGCGCAGTATCAGCCGGAACAGTATGAGAGGTTACGAGCACGCATCCGAGCGATCAACGCAGCGGCCGCCATGTCCCCTCGCTCGAGACACGTTCCTGTGCATCCTGACCTACACACTATGTACCCAAGGTAATAGGAAATATGTAAATTTGAAGTAAATAATATTTATAGAAAGTAATATAAGTAATAACATTCGTACCTATGACGTGCATATGAAAGATGGTTTTTACTTTGCGTTTAATTTGCGAACTAAGTAACCAAAACTCTTTAGAGAGTCAGGAACTGGTGTATTTTTGTATGATTTTCTGTCGATTATTAAATATCGAAACCACGTAACAACCTTGGTTTAAAAGTGTCCTATGTAATGTAACCGATATGTACAATTTGGCCGCTCTTTGTGATGTGAAAAGGTTGTTGTTATAGCAAGCATAAAAATAGAATAACCACGGTTTTATCGTTTAATATTTTAGGCTATAAATAAGCCTACAAAAGCGTTGACCCCTATTACTTCGATAACCATAACCAAAGTCTTGAATCAAGGTGTTGAAGTAGGTTTATTATTTGTCATTGGAATCCGTTTACCTATTTGTTTAAACAGCCATTGATTACCTTTTAATTAGGACATTGTGAAATTCACCTCTAAGTACCTTGTCTTATGTAAATCAAGTATCACGGGACATACTAATGGCATCAATTCTGACTCTATTCTCGAATTAACGATTAAATTACAGCGTTTATTGTCAACGAACATCGCAGAATCGTGTTTCCGTTCATAGATATAACGTGGCCTAAATATATGTAGATATACCTAAGAAAAATAAATATATAAAATAAATATTATTTTTATTCATAATAACTCACTGGTCAACATAGGTACAAAAATATCTTAATTAAGCGACTAGATATTAAAAATAATATGCCTATACTAGGAATATTCCTGTGTCACAGGCGAAAAGAATTTGTAATATGAGTAAAAACTATTTAGTAGAGATAAAATACTTACCTATTATTATAATAATGTTGTTTGTTTTTTATCGAAATTCTAACAATTGGTCGACTCTGTAAGCCGACCAATAGTTACTGTCCCTGTACCGCTGTTCGAACCCAATTGTGCCCCATATATGTATGTATATACTTATAAGCGCTGCAGAGCCGGTTTATGTAACATATTAGATATTACTACATTGTTCAGTCGAACCTTAACGTATTTAAAACTAGCTTTTGCCAACCACTTTTTCACTATTTATGTTATGAGTCCCATGTAATAGGGGTGAGCTTATTGTCGTATACCGGGCACAATTACAGACATCCTGCTTCTACTGAGATTTTTTTTTTAATCTAATAATACTTTGCCCGACCCGGGAACCAAAGCCGAGACCCCTTGCCCCTACTGCCGGGCTTGCGACCACTTGGCCAACGAGGCAGTCTAACTAAGGATTTACTTATTCATATTAATACGAGTACAAGTAATTTACAACTGCAAGTCTACCCTTTTAGGAACGATTGTGATGCAAATTAATTGGTTATGTTAATAAGTATATTGGCAGGCGTAATATGACTGACAGGTACGACTTGAATTAATATTAAATTATATAATAATCTAATCGCTTCATACATTGTCTTGGCACTGGTTTATTATTGATGAATTGCGATTGGCTGATATTTTCTTTTGCATATTTTACAAAAATATTCCCGTTTAATTTTGTTAATCGCGTTAATATGTTATAACGATATCTGTTTCTTACATAATTTTGGTTCCATTCAACACAAAAAATGTTATCTTTTCTGTAGACTTTATTTCTACTCGAGATAAAAGATGAAAACAAAAAAAAAAACTAAGAATCTTGAAAAATAAATGGATCACTTACTCTTTCCTTTATTGTTTCAATTTCGCATTCATTATATTACCGAAAACATTTTATTCACGGTTAAAATATTACAATAACAAAATTGCCCAATTTCAGAAAATAATAAAATAGTAAAATCCGTCGGTCTGATCCGTGCTGACTTTACGAACTGTTTTTACATTCAAGGAAAGGTTTAAAATAACACCCCGGGGGTATACGAATTTACTATTTTATTGAAGACGTAGAGAAGAATAAGAAATAGATTCCAATTCTAAAATGTCCGCTTCTGTATTTATAGAAACAGTATAAACTGCGGGCGAGATAGTATCGGTTGGGTATAAACACGTATCGAACTCCGAACGAGAACAAATGTAGAATACATTTCCAACTTATTTCTTAAATGGAAAAAGGAGTTTGCCTTGTCGCTTAATAAAAGAACATCTAAAAGAAGTGACAATAAACATTTTATTAAATTGATAGAAATATAACTATTACGGCTAATAGACACTTTCTGGATATTCAACTTAGAATTTCTAGTCGCAACTATGGCTCTACGAATAACTCGTTTCGAATTACTTTGGTCTAGTTGTTTCTAGTCATGTTAACTATTATTGGATTAGGGCAATGACAAATTCCAATCTTACAAATGTACTTGCTAGGACTACAAAATAATACATAATTTCTCGGGGACTTCGCACACATTTGGAATTTACGCTTTAGGCGATATTGACATAGGAAATTGCTGGCTTCATTCCAAATTTTCCGGAAACTCTCATTCAGTCTTCATTAGCAACTACAATTAACAATATGGAGCTTGCTTTATGAGCCATTTCACATTATGTTATAATTTCTGACGCCATTCTCCGGGACACTTTGTTTGAAATATGTTATTCATTCTTTAGTAAAATGAAACTTCCAAGGCTTGAAGACAGCTAGAAAGTTAGTATGCAATGCTTTGAATTGCATTGTTACGATTTACATACGAGAATTTGTAAAAGAGAATAAAGTGGAGGCATTTTGTTCAAGGAATTTGTATGATATTCTTTCATAAAAAGGTGAGGAAGGTTCTTGTAATACTCTAGGCACATTGTTGTAGGTTCGTAAAAATTACCTTAGAAATTCACTACACGTACTGATATTCTATCAACGTTACGGAAATTAGATTGGGCGAGCGGAGGCCTGTACTGGGAAATAAGGGTTACGGCTTCCATACTTTACGAATTCCTATTGTAGTCTTATCGGGATTTTTAGGAGCTTTTGGTCTAAGAAAAAAACTAGATAAATATAAATTCCATGGTGTCTGCGTCGGAATTGGTGCTTGAATACTTTCAGGTTTGGCCTCGAAGTCAATCCGTGCCGTTTTGTGCAAATAAACTAGATACTATAAATAAATATGTGAATGCATATAATTGAATCTGAATTAATTTTAATTTCTTATTATCTTTGTATAATGTAATAGTAACCAAATATTCATATTTCTACCAGATAGCTTATTGAATATATATAAATAGCATATTGATTCATATTTGAACGTATTCAAAGTAACCAGTAATTTTTAGATACTATAATAATATTTTGGTTATTTTCATTACATAATTAAATTTCTTATCTTATTTTATATTTCAAAACAACATCAATTTACTCGATTTGATTGTAAATTATTCTACAATTTAGTTCCTTTCATGTCAGACGGGTAAAAACA